GGCCTAGGAAGTGGAAAACGCAATTCTGAGGTCATCTGCCTATACGGAACCCAAATTTCTCAGGAATCGAACGAATAGGTTTTAAGGCTACTGTGTGTTTCACGCAGTTGTATTTTTATACTACTGTGTGTTTCACGCAGTTGTATTTTTATACGCCTGTGTGTTTCACGCAGTTGAATTTTTATACACCTGTGTGTTTCACGCAGTTGAAGTTTTATACTACTGTGTGTTTCACGCAGTGTATTTTTATACACCTGTGTGTTTCACGCAGTCGTATTCAGATACTCCTGTGTATTTCACACTCCTATGTGTATAAACACACAGGTGTATAAAACTTCAACTGCGTGAAACACACAGTAGTATGAAACTTCAACTGCGTGAAATACACAGCAGTATGAAAATTCGGCTGCGTGAAACACACAAACTTCACGCATGCGTGGAGTGTATGGAGTGTACGGGACTGATTCACGCAATGATGCGAATAGTCACGGCCTTTGTTTTTTCAAAACTGTATTCCTCCAGTCGAATAATTCTTACGCAATCCTCATTACATTTCAATTATGAATATTTAAAAAAATCGGGGAATTCCACTCTGCCGATCTCACGTTATTAACCATCGGAAATGTTACATCTCATATTTTTCTGCGGAGAATCGGTGCAATGAATCTTCTTTCATCTTCAATATCTTTTGATCAAATGATATAATTTTGATCAATCAAGTTTTACGTTCATTTTAAACTGCGCAAAAATCCCTTGAAAATGAAGAAAAAATCGGTCCATTTCACCCTGCCGGTCTCCAATTATTGGCCAATAAAAACGTTCGATTTTACTATTTTATTTCGAAGATGAGATGAAATAGATTTTCTCAAACCTTCAATATCTTTTGATCAAACGACATGATTTCAATAACTCAAAATTCATTTCAAAATCTCCAAAACCGCCTTGAAAATGAAAAAATTCGAAATTTCACTTAACCAATCTCGAGTTATGCTCAATTGACTTTACCCCACGACGACTAATTGCGATTTTCTCTAAAACAAATACTATCACTTTATTCTTCTCATTTCCTCCCATGCCTCACAATGAGGAAAGTCTCCAAAGAGCGCATTCCTTTCACTGTTACCCAACAATTCTCCTGTTCTATTATTATCAATTTACGAACTGAGAAGGTGAAAATTTCCATGCCGATTAATTCAAGCGCGACACCTCTGTAATATGTGACGATTAATCTTTGCTTCGTTGGATATTTCAGTGTCCAATTCGCATGGAAGACGAGTCGGGGGGGATTCGTGGGTATATATTTACAGAGCTGGGCATAACTGAGATTGCACGCTGATACTTGAGTATAGGTTTCTCGGATAATATTTTGTTTATCTAAAAACCGAGTTAAAAAAAACTGCAATAGTTTATTCATTCTTAATTTATCCTATCACTGTCATTATCATTAATTGGTTTGCTTACTTATTTATCTAATCATTCACTCACTCATTGAGATCTTCACATTATTTTTTAAAGAGCAATCTAAGAAGTAAAGATGAAAGTTTTGAAGATTCTTCTGATGAACATGCGAAGCAAATTTTAGCAATTCAATTTTACAAGCCTTCGATCTCTCGGTTATGCATCCAGACAAATACCACCGCGAAAGTTCTGTGTGCAGAATGAATAATGAATGGGCATGGAATAAGGTGCACACGCCTCTGAAAGTTTTCAGAGAAAATGCGCGCGGGGCTACGACTGATTTTTTACTGCTGAGAGGATAAAAGTGAAGATGAACAACACCAGCTTGAGTATCCACTCGAAAAAAAACAGTGTAACGTTTTTTGATGGCTCTATTCCGCCTACGTAGCTCGTAATAAATGGGATGATAGTATACAGGGTGTCTCACATGTCGAGGGGAATAGAATGTTTTGAAAGAGATGGAAGTAATGATGGAATTTTTGTCTTCAACACATTGGTAAGGATATCCAAGTACTTTGGCTATTTTTTCTCCAGTGAAATGCCGTTCTACTTTTGTATTTTAACATCAGAGCTTTCAGTTGAGCCCCATTTGACCCTGAGTTTCCGGAATATTTTAATGATTTAAAAACTAGAAAGTTTATTTTTGGGAGAAATAATTTAATGAAGTAATTTAAGAATTTCAATTTTAGAAAATTAATTAATTAATAAAAATCGTTTGTTCGCAATCGTTACAAATTTACTCATATTCAGAGTTTCGAAAGTTTGAACAATTTCAATTATTTATTTATAAATGACGAATGTTTAAAAATGATAATCCTGTGCAAAATGCACTTTGAATGACGCTGGATATTTATAATTTTTCTCACGCAATTTAATTGACAAATTTGATGATTTAAAGTGGTTGAATCTGGTGTGGTCTTGACCGAACTGTAAAAGATACTTGAATATCCTTCAGGAAATTCAACTACTTTGGCTATTTTTTCTACAGTGAAATGCTATTCTACTTTTGTATTTTAACATCAGAGCTTTCAGTTGAGCCCCATTTGACCCTGAGTTTCCGGAATATTTTAATGATTTAAAAACCAGAAAGTTTACTTTTGGGGGAAATAATTTAATGAAGTAATTTAAGAATTCCAATTTTAGAAAATTAATTAATTAATAAAAATCGTTTGTTCGGAATCGTTACAAATTTACTCATATTCAGAGTTTTGGAAGTTTGAACAATTTCAATTATTTATTTATAAATGACGAATGTTTAAAAATGATAATCCTGCGCAAAATGTAATTTGAATAATGCTGAATATTTATAATCTTTTTCAAATTTTTCTGACGCAATTTAGTTGACGAATTTGATGATTGAAAATGGTTGAATCTATAGGAAATTCTTAATGCGCAGATCTTAATTGTTTACGGGAGAGTAACTAGCGACTGATATCTCATCAACCCTGCCTTCCTCATTTTCATTCAGTTTTACGTCCAGACGAATAGAAAATTTACTTGAAAAACCAATTAATATTAACATTCATCACAATTTCAATTACATTCCCGTAAATTTTTCATACCATAAACGTAATTAATATTTCCCCTCCATTGATAAATTTTCTTTTTAATTCTATTGAACTCAATTTAAACTCAAACCGTTCAAATGTCCAAGATCTTGTCCTCAAAATTTCAGCAGTAACTTTTTAACAGTCTAGAATTCCTAAATGAAAGGGTTTATTAACAGTAATTCCGCTCCCTGCATTTCCCTCCATCCCACAGCCTTGTGAAATATCACTCTTCGCTCGAGATATTATCAATCTCACTACCACAGTCACTAACTGGTCATGCACCCGAGTGATATATGATGATATAATAACATGAATCAGTTGTTTTTCTCTCCGCGGGAGAGTTCTGATGAAGAATTCAACTCGAAACCCACCCGACATTCCATTCCTTTGATGTCTTTTTGATAAATTTCATCAATTTGATCGGGAGCAAACGAGGCCGAGGAACGGTTTAGCGAACGTGTACGGCAACAGTAGAAGCACATGTGGGCCACGTGAAAGTTGGGGATGGGACGTTTACGTATTAATATTTATTTGTTTTTATAACATTTTTCTCCACTTGACCAGACGACTTTTTGTGGCCGACACCGAAATTCATTCACGAAAGTGATTGATGAATCATCCCATCAGATGTCTATTCAGAGTTGTGTTCTGGGACTTTAAGCATTTTTGTTTATCACTGGTGATGGGAATATTTCTGTGGGAAAATTCAAGCGCTGCCGGGTGATAAATAGACCTATGTCGAATATCTGTTAGAGAGAGATGCTCGAGTGTTTTTTATCGTCATCTTTCGGCGTGAAAGTTGACAAAATTCTTGTTCATTCGCTCATTCCGAGGGAATTTTCTTCGGTTGCGTAATGTATTACTAGGTCGGACACGCGCGTCTCTATCATCTTGTTTACTCGGGAAGATCTTCCTTTCTTCATTTAAATTTTAAATGTATCGAATTTTACGCTCATAAATGCATTATTAAAGTGAGTGAGATGTAAAAAAAAAATCTCAATCAGTGATGAAGATGGATAATTAGTGATAAGTTAATGAATAATTTTGAATGGCTGATTAATTCCGTTTCACTTTTCAAAGTGGCCCGATCAATGGTCGTAATTGTAATATCTCACGAAATCTAAAAAATCGAAAGTGAAAATGATAGTTCATTAAATATTCAAACCATAAGGCATCTCGTCGTTTCATAATGGATTTAGAATGTCACATTTTTTGTTGCATTAACTGAAGAAATAAATAAATAAATATATACGTATATTTTCCTCCTGAAAAATCATGGAAAATCACCAACTTCAATAGAAAAGAAGAAGAAATCCTCAAAAAAACGTACTGATCACGCATTAACGCCTTTTTTGTTCTACGAGTCACAGAAGTGGAAGAAAATAGAAAAAAACGTCGTTGAAAATGGGAAAAACGTGGACTTCTGGGGAGAAGAAGTCCCATTCATCCATGAAATTTCCATATCAACCCCCAACTGAGATAAAATAAAAATAAAACTCACCTGACTCTGCCCAACTCGATACGATGCTGGATCTACATCCACCGACAGGAGCATATCCTCAACAGCCCTGCGTTCATCAGCAACAGGACTCCCCGGACGCGCATTGGCATCATTGGACAACAATCCAAAACGTCTCCTGAATTCACTGAGGGGCATGTGCTTGGGATACCCAACTTTATGCAGCCGCACTGCGTCTATGATCTGACTACCACGTATCTGACGATGGAAATGCGTGTTATGCGCACTGAGACTCGATCGTTCTAATGTAAGATTGCATGATGTGTTACCTGAGAACGCAGAAGAGGTACGTTCAGTATACTGTCCTCACTCTGATTCGATTTCACTGTCAGGAGACTCTTATTGTCGGTGCAGCCTGCATTGTGCTGGGGGAGGAGACAATGGACGAATTTCACACGAGTTCTTCTGAGGGTTTCGATGAGACCATCCTGAAATATTGGGAAAATTGTCGGTTGAGTCGAATAAATTTGAATCAAACAAAACTTTACTTGATTTTTTTCCCGTAAGAGGAGAGTTAAAATTGATTATTTATAAATTATTTATAGAAAATTGCTGAAAATTGCAATTTTTTATTTCATTATTTCATCAATTTCTATTTTTTATGTTTTTGTCGTTTCTTTTCTCGAAATTGTTACAAATGAAAAATCTGAAAAATTGTGCAATTTTTATTGTCATTTCTTCTTATTTTTTTTACATTAAGGATATGCAAGTACTTTAGTTATTTTCTCTTCAGTAAAATGGTTTTCTACTTCTACAGTCGAACATCAGAGCTTTTATTTATTTATAAACAACGAGAGATTAAAAATTTTCAAATTTTTTAAAATTTTTCTCACACAATTTAATTGACAAATTTGATGATTGAAAATGAATCTATAGAGTGGTCTGTACTGAACTGTAAAAAATGCTTGGATATCCTCAATTTCAATATTTTTCGTGGAAATTAATAAACTCATCAATTTTTATTACATTCATTATAATGAAACTATTAATTATTAATTTTATTACGTTCATTCACTCATTTTATTACATTGCAATGAAAGCGTTTCAATTTTACGGATTTTCCATTTAATTTTCACCACAACCTGAATGTCAATGAATTCCATATGAATTCAGGAAACCCCACCATCAGAGAAAAACGTTCAATCATCTCGAAATTTGGCTTACCACAGTGAACTTGACTTGCAGACAGGCATTCTTCCTCTTCACTGCCGTGAAGGTTCTCCTGATGCTCGAGGCTCTCCTCAGTGATTGGGACCCTTCGATACCAGGCACAGAGCCACTGAGAGCTCCACAAACACCAGCACCGCGTGCCTGGACGAATAATCTACTGATATCCTCCCTAAAAACCATAAAATTATTCATCCATTAAAATTTAAGAACACTGAGGTGAACATATTCTAGAATTTCAATTTAATACTCACTCAGCTCATTTTGAAATATAGATATTCAATAAAAAATTAATTGAAAATTCAATAAAGTTAAGAAATCCTCATTTTTCTGCTGCCCAAAACCCCCAATTTAATTGAATTCAGTGAAATCTGCAATTTCCAAATACTTTCCCCTAAACCCAATCCAAATTCGACTCCAATACAATTTATTTTCTAAAATAGCTTATGAAAATCAATAATCCCCACCTGCTGCTCTCCTGCAGAACGGTGATAGCACTCCTAGTAACCGGATTTTCCCTAGTAGCCTTGATCCACCCAGTGGCACTATACAAAACGGGATTGGTCCCCTGCAGATGCTGCAGCACAAACTCATTATTCCCCGGAGCCTTCCTGAGCAGTAGCTGATGGTCCCTGTCCCCATAATGGGAGAACAGCCTATCCAAGAACGACTCATCACTGCCCCCAGAGCAGACAGCCTCCTCATCCAGCAGCCACAGCAGTCCCTTCCTCTCAGTCTGCCTCAGATCACTCTGACTAGTCCTGAGCATCGTGGCACTCTGCTGGCCCCTGTCCAAAAGCGAGACAAGAGCCTGTGGCGATCCAATGCAATCCTCATCGTAATCCTCCTCATAATCCACATCAATTCCCTCCTGAGCATAACGATCCTTCGGCGCAACAAGTGCTGTGTAATGAAAAAGAAATTGCAAACGCTCCTGCAGATAATTGTGGCAGAGATCCTCGAAATTGGCGCCAGTCTGTCGTCCACAGGACGCAGGATTCTGGAAGCCAGGGGCGTCACAAAGGAGCATCGACGAGACAGTGTGAACAGACGATGATATGGATTTGTTAATCAGCGCAGCAATGCAGTGGAATATCTCAGAGTAAAGGCCAACGAGCAATCCCTCGAGTGCATCGAGGCCAGAGGTGTCTTTACCACTTTCTGTGGGACTGGGGGTTCTCAGGGTGGGTCTGCCCCCATTGGGAGTGCCTCCATTGCTGCCAGAATTTGTGGAGAAGACTATTCTACTCAATTCTTCGACTGTTGTCCCCAGGAGATTGGCTGCCCTCTCGGCACAGTCGACTCTGGCGAACTGCCAACGAGCCTGGGAGCCCGATTTCACAGCTCCAGCACAGCTCAGGTGGTAGATACCTGCCAGCACCAGCCATATCACCTTCTCGTCGGCTGCTGACACCCCGAGGATTTTAAATGCTGCGACTATTCGGTTGAACTCCACCATTGCTCGCTGCTTGTCCTCGTGCTTCTGCAGGGGAGTTATGAAGGGGTTGTTCTCAGCCACTAGGTTTGTCAGGTTCAGCTCCTTGCGGAGGGCACCTTCAGCTCCTGCGAGGAGGCGGTACACTGCGTGGAACGTGGGGTCTCCGTTTGGTCTTCTACCGATTCTCGATTTCTCGAGGAGGAGAACCTGGAGAGACGCTGAAGCTATCTGACCCGATTGGTCGAAGTCCAGGGAGAATATCTGGGTGAAGCGGGTGGCGTTCGAGTTCATGTGGGTTCTGCTGTTGCCGAAGGCCTCCAGCACTGTGAATAGGGCGTTCAGCTTCTCGATTGTTAGGATCTGAAAGACAAAATTTAGGAGTGAGTGGACGGTGGTCGGACGTATTCTTGTATTTTTGTGGTTTTTACTTGGGAATTAATGTGAGGTGTCGTTTGTTTTGAAGGTTTTTGAAGATTGGAGAATGGAAGATGATTAGCTCGGGGAATTAGCTTGATTTGAGCAAACTGATTATTCTTTTATTCAATTTTCCGTTATCCTTTGCATAATTTATGAAAATAGAAGTGAACATTGTTGAAAATTTTTGACTGGAATTTCTAGTAAAATTGTTGAAAATTTTTATCACGGTATAGTTCCAGTAAAATTTCAAGGATTTGTGCAATTGAAAATTTATTAATGAAAGCTGTGAATTAATAGAAAACAGGAAAATTCAAATTAATATACTCTTGCATTTTCAATTAATTTGAAATTCAATGTAATTTGGTAGTAAATTTTTAAGTTTTGATTGAAATTTAAGAGAAAATGGAGATGAACACAGTTTTGACTAAAATTTCCAGGAAACTTCTTGGAAATTTTTATCGTTTTATATAATTCCAGTGAAATTTCAAGGAATTTCGCAATTCAAAATTCAAAAATTTGTGTAAAAATCAATGGAAACTAAGTTTTAGCCCAATTATCCATGAAAGTTAATAGAAATCAGAAAACTTCAGGTCTCGAAACTTTAATAAACTGGAAAGTCAGTGAATTTATTATTAAATTTTCATGTTTCGATAAAAAATCCAAGGAACTTAAAAAATCCCCATGTTTCGAAATCTCAAAAATTTGTGTATAATAATCTCCAATAATTAATACTAATTTCCAACACACTAAATCGTTTATAATCGTCCAAAACAATGGGCTTCGAACGATTACTCCAAATATTCCTACAGCCTCATTGGAAACAACTCAGAACGCAACTTGAAATTCTGAAGCACCGAATTAATTGCTGAATGGATGGGGTTAAAGGGGCTTTGGCTGTGAGAATTGAAGGGAATACCTTGTTGACTGTTCCCGCTGCCAAGACGAGATAATGCAAGGCGTGCTTGAAGTTTGTCGTCTTGCCAGACCCACTCCGACCTAGGAAAACTAGGGAATGATCACGTCTTGTCGCCAGCATTCCCCTGTAGGCGGATTGGGACATTGCGTATATGTGAGGTGGCATGTCCTCGCTTTTGCATCCTTTGAACATATGCACGACCTGGAGAATAATATCATTTGATTAGATTGATGAATTGCCTTCCATTATACCCTGAAATAGAAATATCTCCTGAGGATAAACACGAGTAATACATTAACTGCCCTAATTTATTACTGTAATAAAATGTATAAGAAAAAAAATAATCATTTTATGTAAAGTATTACTGATATTTTTGTCTTCAACATTCAATTGATTTTTATTATCATTTTATTGGTTTATTCTTTCCAATTTGTTATTTATTGTCATTAATCCTCTCGTTTCATGTTTTTATTACGTAATTAATTGCATTCATTTAATTAGGGAGACTTTCAAAATGGCAATTGAAAAACAAAGTCAAAAATGATTTAGAATTAATTGTTAAAAAAAAAATTGAGAACGATTGGGAATAATAAATAATTTTCTCGATTTCTACCCGACAAAACAGTAAAATAAAAACGTAAATGCCATTTTATTCTTCATTTTTACAGGATGAAGTAGTGAAAATGGCTAAATAATGCATAATCGGTCGACGTAATGGACTCGGAACGATTATTCTAAATACCATTGCATCATTAGAAACTATCCAGAACAGTATTTCGGATTTAACAGCATTCTTGCGACACCTCATCGTAAAATCTGTTTTTATGATCTCAGAACGACAAAATATCCATATTGAATGGTCAGAGCTGAGTAAAATATGGGAATTTGTAATTGAAATATAACTATTTGTTATTTCAATTTTTAATGTTTAAGGCTGAAAATTGAATGTTCCGCTGATTTTCCCACGAAAATATGAGCGAAAACTGTCGATTTCGGCTCAATTCTTGATTAGAGATGAGCAAAACTGGAACTGAATATCGATATTTCATCAAAAATTCAAGTATTCGAAGATTGAAAGTGAATTAATAAAAAATTCAGGATTATTCAACGATTTTCCTATTATCCTTGATTTTTAAAATGCATTCCTGACTGTATGAAATCTAATGGCTTTCAATTTTTCATTTTTGCCTTAAATTCTTTCTACAAAAACTACATCAAGCCCTCTCCCCCCTAAACCCCCCTCCCCGTCCAAAAATAGAAACCTAATTAATACCTTCTCAGAGTATATCGCCAACGGTGCAACTGGATTAATGACAATCATGCTGTCGCCAGCGTAGGTGTGTATGAGGTTGCTGGCGTATCTCTGCCGAAGTGTGTGGAGAACCGAAGACTCATTGAGGAACCTCAGCTGCGACAGCTCCTCGGCCTTATCGAACTGCGGAGGATTGGCCTTCTCGACGTCTTCCTCGTCTACCAGCAGCTCCTCGCCACTCGGTATCAACCGAACTCTGAGTTTTCCGGTGTCTGGATCGCCAGCCCCACATCTTCTTCCCGATGTGAATCCACCTCTGTGGAGGAGCCAGACGCGCTCCGACGCCAGCCAAGCTTGCTCCTGAGCCAAGTGCTCCTCAGTACGAGCCTGAAAATAAAATAATTCAATTAATGAATCAATGGATTGGTGAATTAATGAATTAATAGATTAATGAATTGATGAGTTAATGAATAAATGAATTAACGAACTAACGAATTAGGGGATTAATGAATTGGAGAGTTAATGAATTAGTGAATTAATGGATTAATGAATTAATTAATTGATGAATTAATGAATTTCTTGGAAATATATTGAAATTATTAAGTTTCTTCGGTTCTTTCATAATTTTTTTTCACTTGTCAATACCAATTTGGGGGTGAATACTGCTTCAGATACATTGATCTGTCTTGTACAAGTCTTTAATATCTCCTGAAGGGTGTATAAAACGGCGAATAAGACGATGGTCAAACTAGCGAGGAACATTGTTACACTGACGACTAGTGTAACGTTGCTCTCGCTCGACTGGCGTAACGCACGTGTTATGTGTCCAGTTGATCCGGCCTTAAAGACGTGTTACCAAGTTGTTGCATCTGTATGTACAAATACAGGTATGTACACTTTGTAAGAATAACGTGTACTTGAACAAGACCCACGATGTATATGTGGGCTGTTTGTGGTACGCGCAATGCGCATTAATTCACTTCGATTCCGTTCGATCACCTAACACACTGGGAATCCGCGAGTGTGGGGCTTTCACCAAAGATAACGGCTGCCGAGCATTGACTCTTGGTGATGGAGGGATGTGGAGATATATCGGGGGACTCGTGATTGATGGGTTTTCGGGGGATTGTCGTTTTAATTAGGTGGTGGAAACTATTGGGCGAGGGGATTCAGGGGTTTTAGCGATTTTTTGGGGATTCTGATTAGGCTGGTGGATTTGAAATGCTATTGATGAGTTATCGATTAGAAAAGTGCAGGAAGTCAAGGGGTTTTCCTGGTGGAGGAGGCATCGAGGCGTTGAATGTCCAATTAATTGTGGATTTATCAGGTGGACTCTGATTTTCAGAGTCACATCGCGTTTGGAAACCGAATGGGTCTTACGTCATAGGGGTGATGGAGAAACCGAATTGTTTATATCCGTTGCACCCAGAAAAATAATTTATTTGAATCAAATAAAGTTTATTTAAATTAAATAAATGTTATTTGATCCAAATAAATTCTTTATTTATACCGAATAAACGGTTTTTTATATTAAGAAAATTTCTTCGTTTGAAATAAATAAATTGTTTGTTCAATATCATTAAATCCCTTTTCTTGAAATAAAATTGATTCAAAAGAAAACATTTTTCTGGGTATGCGCATTAAATGTCAAATGATTGCCATCATTTTTATTCCTCCGTCTTAAGAGAGAGGGAGGATATGAATTTTTTAGGGGAGGGTCATTCGCGACTAATTTGTGCTTTGTTGATTAATGAGTCATTGACAAAACGTTAACGATAAAAATTACATTATTTTCCGGCCACAAATGAGCTGCTGAACTCCCGAAATTCCTCTTGAATTTTGGGACAGTTTGTATTCCGCACTTTTTATTCAATTTTGATTTCGCGCGGACACAAAATTCGGTTGAAAATTCAATTCATATCAATATTTATTAGTTTTCCATAATTTTCTAGTCGATTTTTCAGTTCGACGTGATAAATATTTCCCTAATAGTGTCAGAAATTCTTTGAAATTCCAGCAATAGCTGCATTTGAGCTTCCAAAATCTTGAATTTAAATTCAATTTAAGATCAAATCGTCCACGAATTTTCTCATTCACCTTGCAATCCTCACTCTTTCCAACCCACTCTCCCGAAATTCATTTCAATCCAATGTCAAATTCATAAAAATTGCAATCGTCAAGTGAAATAACAAAAAACCCCTCATCGCTCTCGAAAAATCCCGTTCCCCACCACTCATACGCGCTCGTCTCACTGATCGATATTCGCAGCGCCCGAGCAATGATTCACCGCATCTGGTCATTTGTCACGAACCACGTTGATTACAGAATTAAGATGTCCACATAAAAGGAGTGAATGAAAAGTCGGCTCGGCGGCGAATGAAACAACTGCCTTGACTGAAAAATAACCTTTTTTTTATCCTCTTTTCGCGGTATTCCGATTATGTATATTGAATATCAACGCTATCTCTTCCCTTTATGACGTGAATTAAGAAGAAACTCCAATTGTAGAGAATCATTCTCCTTGTGGTGACGTAAGGTGCACACTTCTCGCCCTCTTTCTTCTCAGGGGCCTTGAACCTCCGTATTTGGGTGGCTATTGCACCTGGACCTGAGTCTATGTGACCATTAGTCCTGATATTTGGATATTTACGTTTAAAATAATTTTTTGTAATCCAATGGAGAATTTAATATTATGTTATTTATTTCCTAGTAATTTACATTAAATTCAATACTTGTAAACTAATTATGTAATATTTATTAGGATTATTGGGATTAGGATTATTATGTGCTGTTACTTCCGAACGGAATCTTTGTATATTAATTAATATTCCATTAATATATTAATTTTTGAAATTTTAGAATTGAAAAAAAATTAGTTGTCATATAATACAGCTATTTTTGCTAATAAATTAGCAATATGTTTCCGAAGGGTTATTTTGCACATCATTTCCTTCTATCATGTTTAATTCATTGTTTATTTCATTTTATTAAATTGAATATGATTTCTTTTTAAGTAATTTTGTCAGATTTCGAACTCGGTCAAAAGGACATGCAAACAATTTTTTTAAGCCATCATTCAATCAATTCAGAACATTTTTTTTAGTTACCGTGGGACAACCCTTTTCGAAAAAATTCGAAAATTAAAAAAACTAAACGATAAATTGAATTTTAATTAATGGTCATCGATAGGACTCAACAACACTTGAAAAAAAATTCTATTCCATCCATTCATTAGCGAACAATTACTATTTTGAAGCATATCGCTAATTTATTAGCAAAAGTAGTTATTCCCTATGCAGACAAAAGCAATTTTCCAGTCCTTTAAAATTATAAAGCAATATAATAATATTATAAATAATATATTATAATAATCTGCACAACCAAAAAAAAAAAAAATTTCAATTTGAGACTTACGATCGCAAATTGAGACTTCCGAAAGATCATATATGATTCAAATTTTATCTTTGAAATCTCAAAATAAAGATTTTTTTCCAAGCTGCTATAGTACGACATATCGATGGTAATATGTGAATAATATATGAATTAATTTATAATACTATTTATAAATTAATTCACGAAAGAAGTGAAATATTTATGATTAAATATTCACAGCCAGATTGGATATTAATACTGAAACTTTTCAAAACCGTTACCCTGTCAATTCAAGATCATTCTCACAACATCCCACGCCTTCTCTCCAGAGTGCGAAATTTTTCGGGTGTGTTTTTCATAGGTCCAAAAAGAACCGGAGATGTGGGCGTCAATTCAATTCCCCTCAAATAACGGAATTTAGGAATAACTCGCGTGGATAGTTGGCATGAGAATCGCCTAACGTTAATAACACATTGATGAACGTTTAAGAGATGAGAGGAAACGAGGCCAAAGGGAGTGTTACATGGTGGCAGGAGAATGGCGAGAGGCGTCATTAAATAATTTCATAACCATCGAGTTTTTCCAGTGTACCGCGAGCCAGGCGAATGCCATTAGAAAAAATCCTTGGTTATTTTATCGCGGCTATTCATCCAGCACCTCCGATAGTTTTGCACCTACACGAAGGAAAAAGTTTGAGAAAATTTACTGAACTAGTCGAGTAATCGTGGAGAGAACTCGATTTCCAGTGCTTTTTCACACTATGTCGGGGAAAAAGTGCGAGTCGAATAGTGAATTTTCCTCCGTTGACCCGGGAAAATTTACTGAACGTCAGAGCAATTTGTCCTGAAACTGTTAAATTTACCCTGCATTTCAATATATAATACATTTTTTCAAATGTAGGAATTGTTGAGCCCCATTGATCGCCATTAATTAAAATTCAATTCATCGATTGGTTTTTTTAATTTTTAATTGTCTCGAAAATCGGTTGTCCCACGATAACTAAAAAAAATGTCCTGAATTGATTGAATGATGGCTTAAAAAATTTGTTTGGATGTCCTTTTGACCGAGTTCGAAGCTGAAGGCGATAGCAATAATCGTTATTTTGATTTATTTGAAAATTTGCAAAAATTTTGTATTTTTTGAAAATCAGAATTCCGGGGATATCTTTGAATATCATGCTTTAAATGAATTCAATCATAGCTTAAAATGTTTGTTTTAATGCCATTAATTCGAAGTTAAAAGATGATTACGATAGCTATATTGGTTGTTTTGATTTTTATGCTGATTGTTGAAAATTTCGAATTTTTCATGAATTTCCCTGAAAGTGAGCTTTCTGATGGTTTCTTCAAATGTGATGTTTCAAATTCATTCAAGTATGTGTAAATAAAATTTTTCTATTAACATTTTATCGAAGGACTGAGGGGAGAGATAGAACGATAAAAAGGACAATCGGTTGTACAGAAGAAAGGGATAATAAAAATACTGACGATGATAACATTCAACTAAGTTGAAAATCTGACAAAATTATTTGAAAAGAAATCTCATTCAATTTAATAAAATGGAATAAACAATGAATTATACATGATAGAAGGAAATTATGTGCAAAATAACCGTTCGGAAGCATATTGCTAATTTATTAGCAAAAATAACTAAACTATACGCAATACAAGAGCAAATTCCCACTTGTTTTCCATTATTTTCTGTGAACAAATAAGCTCCTAAACTACCCTCACAATATTTCTATCAACTTTTGAGACAGTCTGTATTCCTTACTTCTATTGAATTTCAAGTCCACGCGAATAAAAAATTCTATTCATTAAAACTCGCGCTCCCTTGATTGATAAATCATTGATAAAGCATTCGAGACAAAAATTTCTATCATAAAATTGATCACACCCCGACAATTCAATAATTCCTCTCAATAACCAAAAAAACCGCAAAAACCTCCAAAATTCTCAATCAAGATACCATCGAATAAAACCCCCATATTGAATAATGCATGGAATCAATTTACG